GTTTTTTTCTTTAGGTGCTTTATGAAATATTTAAACATGCTCTTATTTATGTTTAGCGATATAAGTAAATTTTAGGTCGCATGCGCATGCTGTCACAATTTTGACAACAAACATTTATATAGAATATAAATTTTATTATTTGATTGTACATATTTAGTACTTAGCAGTTGTATTTATGATTGAGCTCTGTTTATTGTTTTACTATCCATAATTAGTGGTGTGCTAAGTTAAAGTTTTAAGTCAAAAAGAATTAATTCTAATGTCCGGAAATAATTACCTGCATAATTTAAAAAAACAACGCAAGTGTGCCGAACGTTTACCTTTTTTCTCTACACGTCGATTTATTTGAAGCATAGGTACCATGCGATGTCAAACGAACAAGCGGTAGTCTTAAAAGCTAACCAATTAGGGGCTAAAAGCACCTTTGGGTCGGGTTTGCTTGCCGCCGCGGTTACGTTCCCTCATCAATTTTGTACACAGTACTCTCTTGTATTAAAAACTTTTACAGCCTCGCATAAAGGTCTTGTCAATAGCGCGGATCTTGTTTTTTTTTTCGAAAAATTTCAAAAAAGTAACTAAAGGTTTTCTCTGGTAGCACGCATTGGAATACTGTTACAGTGTTAACATTTTAAATTTTTTCAACCTTATTTTTTTCGTAGCTAATTCGTATTCTTTATAATGTTCATACGTGCCTTGTATACATGAATGTATGATATTATGCTAATGATATTAAAAATCATGCTTATTATTATTGTATCTGCAGCACATATTTTAATATAATAATAACTGATAAATCTGTAGAATTCATAAAACTAAATTATTATTGTGAAAATTAGAATTAGTTTCATGTATAGTGAAGAAAAATTAATTTAGCATCAGGGCGTTTAACATAATTATTTAATGATAAATTAACAATTAAAAATAAAATATATTTTTTTTTTATCTTAGTAAGTTAAATAAATAGTACTAGTAAAACGAAACGCGTACGCGTACTAGTACTAGTAATAATAGTACTAGCATTCAGCTTTAAAAATGTTTTAAAAGTAAATCAATTTATCTCGAACAAGAATTGCTTTTCCCAGAACCCACCTGCCAATTTCTCTCGAACATTCTAAGGTCGTATGTAGGTTCGACGTTGTTTTTCCGACGTAAAGAGGCTTAAAACAAAAAAGACGGCGAATCTAAGAGCCACAAGCAAACCTTAAAAACTTTCCGACATAAAAGTTTAAAAGTGATCCGGGTGGGGGGGGCGTAGGAGGGGGCCGTTGCCTAGCAACGCCTCCCGGCTCCCCTTACGCCGCAAATCTCCGTTTGATACAGAAAACCGAAAATTTATTGTTCGTAGCACACGGATTTATGTTTCATTTAGTAGGTTTCTACTTGTACATACCTATATTATGTTCGAAAGCAAATGTTTTGTGAATATATTAAAAGGTGCCGTTTAAATTTTCTTTTTAGGTTTATGGAACTATATTAATCCTTTTTTTATGTAAATGTTTCGATTACTTTTCATTTTAACAAATTTAATGTATTGTAGGTACTCATTTCTTGGATTTTATATTTTTATGTATTTTTGTGTTAGATATTTGCACTCTATTTTTTCATCGCAATTTCTTATTTGTAGTTACATAGTTGTAATGGGTAGAAGAAAAGAAGAAGAAATTTAAATTTTACGAAATAAATTCATAAAAACTATTACGTTTTAGATTTAAGAACGTAATAATTAATTTACTTATTACATAGAAGAAATTACTTATTCAATAACCGAACATCAGTACTCGTAGAGCAGACCGTGACTTTTGACGCAGAAAGACAAAGCCTTGTTTAAATTTCTCGCTAAACTTCTCGTCTATACGAGCCAGCAAGACGGTAATTCGTGCCAATTTACGTCACACATACGAGAGACAAAAGGAACATCGCAGAAGGCTGAAGTGGTGAAGTCAATTAGCATGCAAATGTAAGAAAACGACCATTAGAGAAGCCTTCGGTATACACGCCGAGAGCGCGCGTTCTACGCTGTATCGATCATACAATCCCTCACACGCTTACATACACCCGTCTCTTTTTAACTTCCCCACAACAGAGAGCTATAAACATAAACCTAATAATACTGAAAAGCCTTTACAGAAATACTGATGCAAATAAAATTCGACTTTATTCATTGCGCTGAAAGACCACGTTCCGAACTCTCGTTAACGTGAAAAGTGCGTTCTAGTTTTCGAGTTTTCTTGTTGTGCCAGCAAATTTCTGTTTCTGTCTTTAAAGGAATAAAGATCTATTTCAATCATGAGAGTTAAAAGAAAATGAGACTTCCGTTGTTATTACAGAGGTCAAAATTGAAGTTGGTCATAGCATTTGCTCAGTTTTCAGTTGTTGACAAACGATATATGTACATATGTATGTGTATAAATAATATTACGATGCGGAGTGGATGAGTTCGTAGAATAGTCTCGCTCGTAGGGATATTATTTGACGAATTAATTCTCATTTTAGATTTTGTAACTGCCCTCCACTCTGATATATGTTTTATTGTTTCAGTAGGCTGATAGGTAGATGGCCTGAATGGAAAATAGTTGGCATTCGGTGTTAAGTAGATACGGTAAATCATTCATACTATGATGTGAAGTCTAGTTGCTAAGGCAGAAATAAGCAGGATTGGACTCAAAGTAAGGTTACCAGTAATCACAATTTATATTTTCGTTTGTTTCGTTTAGTTATATAATTAATTGCTTAAATGGCTGGACCTAGCGTTAAGTGGTTACCGGGGCCCATAGACATCTACAACGTAAGTGCCGCCACCCACCTTGAGACATGAGTTCACAACGGCTGCTCCACCTTTCAAACTGAAGCGCAATATTGCTTCACCGCAAACATAGGCAAGGTGGTGGTACCTACCCGTGCGAGCTCTCAAGACGCCCTACCACCAGAAGTTATGCAAATTATAATTTTTGAGGGTTTGATTTTGCATTACACGGTGATATTCCATTGAACATCACTTATTTCATATTATATTTCAATAGTAATATTGGTGCCTGTTGGTTTTGAACAACGACACAGTCGCACCGCTTGGTACAAATACACCGAGCGTCTTATCCTTCAGACCACGATGACTTCAAATATATATTTTACGGGTTCGATTACAAAACCAAAGTTTCGTACATTGATGTATTTGTTGACAGGAGTTTGCCCTAAACACGTCATTACGGATCCTTCCGATCCATTAACGGTGCTTTTAGGTACATCAAGCACTAGTCACCGTCCTCGTCGAACCCGTCGCTTGCGATGAAGGGCTCGACGAGTAAATTAACCTGCAGAGCCCACTGAGTTTCTCGGCGAATCTTCTCAGTGGGTCGCATTTCCGATCCAGTGGTAGATTCTGCGAAGCACTGCTCTTGCTAGGGCCAGTGTTAGCAACATTCCCGGCTTGATCCCCGTGAGCACATCTACTCGCCCGGTTACGCTGACATAGCCCCCCTCAAGGCTATCGGTTTAGGTAGGCAAAAAAAACCACAGGAGTAGGCACCTGTATACGGCCTGTGCAGCATGCTTTTATTACAAAACAACAAATTCAGACTATACTCATTATTTTAAAGTGGACGGTTACTTATTCAGGATACAATACCAATGTATCCTGAATAAGTAACCGTCCACTTTTGGTTGGTATATGAATTATGGGTATAATATGCTCGTTAGAACAGTAAATCCGAAAGATCCATCTGGAAAACCTGAGGATACAAAGTTAACAAAATTAATTCTAATTACATGACTAAACATTAAAAATTTACACCATTAGTTAACCTAGCTTTTTGTAACTGCATATACAGATACTATACACAATGGCCATCCCAGATTATAGACACGCACAACTTGACTTCATTGACGCAGCAATAGGCAGGGTGGTGTAACGAACCCATGAGGTTTGGCAAAACGCTAATTTGCGTGATTACGAAAATTATAATATTGCGCGTGTTTTTCTGATTATTCCCGGTTATTCCCGGAAATAATTTCCCGGTTGACTTTCTTGCCAGGACCTTCTCAGTGGATTACTATTTCGATCCAGTGATAAATGGACATATGAAACAGCGGTTAGACCTCCTCTAAGGGCGCTCAGGAAATTAGCAAGCCTTACCCACTTAACTGAACTCTTGAGTTCGCCCATCAGTGCGGTCGTCATACCATCAGCGATCCTTTCCTTACAAAAACAGGAAGTGATTTGTGAACATGTCAAAAATTCCTACGTATTATTACAAAAATTGGTACCAAGATACAAGAAAAAGAAAAAAAATCAGTGATTTGGTAGAAAAACAGTGATATTGTGTTTGCCACTTAGACCATGAAATTGAAAGGTTTCGGTTTTTTCGTGTAGTACTGACGGTACTGTATGTGGTACAAAAAGAAATCGCTTCATTAACATTTGTGATTTCTCTCTATCAGACTATTTGTACACGAGGCTTTAATTATCATCTTAGTTCGTCTCATTCTTACCACCGCATCACTTGCCAGCGGACCTTACCGTAAATGAACCCTAATTCATAGAGTTCACAGTGCATTTTCACTGTCACGCTATTTGAAATAGCTTCTAACAGTTTTTAGAAGCGATAGCAGCTTCTTGTGTGGATTTGATGTTCATGAAAGATGGTGACAACCAACGGTGAGTGGGCGTCTTCTAGGGAAAAAGTAAGGGTTATCATGCATTCAAGCTTCAGATATTATTTCTCTACAGTCTAAGTTTCCTGTGTACCTAGACAGGATTTATTAAGGCACGCAAATAACAACCGATTCGCCACGATTTATCAACCCAAGAAACTCTTCGAACAAGTACTGACATCTAGTATCCATTCGTGAAGGCTGCGGAAAGTTTGAAAGACATGCGTGGAAAGCCATGAATCGTTGATTTAGAATTCGAGCTTTATTTGATAACGTTAAGGTGCATTTTATCCTGCAGTATCTGCGCAAGCGTCGTACCATCGATTTATTGTGTCACCGTTTTGACATAACACAATGTGTGCGCTCGGGTTTTTATAAACAAATAGAACATTTTAGAGAAATGATACAGGAAAGTGCAAATGTTGGCGATTTATTTGATTATTTAGACGCGAAATACTGTAGGCACTGATATAGAACGGGAATGAATGAATCAATTTAGAAATGATTGAATTAAAATCCATATTTGGTAAGTTCTTTTTAAATAATTAAAATTTTCAATGACATCGTTGAATTTTAAGGCATTAAGATCCATATTATTTCCGTTGTTATAGGCTTTCACCCTTTTTTATTTGTCGTCTCTTTGTTTTTGGATTGTTAAAAGAAAATTCTCTAATACGCTGTGACTGGCCTTTGTCCACGCCAAAAAAAATAATATAGTTAATATTTTTGTCATTGTATTTTCTGTGCACTATACAGAAAAATGAATGTTCGTATTTATTTATATGCAGTTCGAAAAAGTTCATTCGATCGTAACGAAAGTTCTTACAGTTGCTATTAGCATTAAGCCCTTAATCATTATGTGTATCATCTATACATTTCACGGACGGTTTCATAGTAAATTCAATGTACGCCAGGTAGCGCTAATAAATTTTCAACAAATACGTGTATTTCTTAGTTTTAGGAATATGTAGTAACAGCTGAGCATGACTGGCTTCAGAATAAAAATAGTACTTTTGGTCCGACCTGTTGGATCAATTAGTGTTTTTTATTAGTCTTAGTCAAACCATTTAGTCAAGCATTTTCGTATAAAAAGATAAGCAGTGTTGAATGTAGAGAATAAAGGAATTTTTGACCCATAGCGCGTAGTTAAGTTCATTGTGATCATACGGGATTTAGGGTTTTATTGTACGATAATACGATGGGCTGGTTAGGGGCATCGACTAAGCTGAGCTCCAGACTAAGGGGACACACGGCTGCCAAGTTTAACACGCATAGCAGAAACATCTAATAACCAGAATTGCAATCTGATGTGTTGGCATTATCTGTGCAATTGTATGTTAATTTTAATTATATATGCCGATAAATGTGTATATGAATTAACATATATGTATGAGCAAATGTATATTACATATGATTATGGATTTGTAATATGTGTGTGTAAATTTGTTTGTTATTTTATATTTATGAGATCATGTATGGAGGTATGGCGTTGTATGTCCGAGTATGTTGTATATGTTTTTGCAAACATATTTAATTCTTTTTTCGTTAATAAAGGAATGTACTTACCACAGTACTTGCTATAACTGCCTTGGTTAACTGGCAGATAATGTTTTAAACATTAAGTTCGTCACCTTACTGTGCCACGAGTTAAATATTAATAATAAAATATTTCCAATTGGACATTTTTATTGATTTGTAGTCGTTTGATGATCGGAGTTTATAGATGTTACAATGTGAGGGATAGAAACTCAAGGGCTTGCTAACATCACTGTCCGAGTTTAGTCGAGGCCTAAGATCTCAAAGCAACATCACGAATGTGTTTACCACCGGATAAAAATCGCGACCTGCTAAGAAAATTTTAGTGTGATGTTCAGTGGATTGACGCTATAGGCTAAATGTCTATTGAACTCTTTCACGAGGGAACTGTCACGAGGGTGCTTTGGTCGTTGCTAGCTTTAGAACTCGTAGCATGCAACAGCACTGGTGGTAGGACCTCTACTGGTGGTAGGACCTCTACTGGTGGTAGGACCTCCACTGGTGGTAGGACCTCTTGTGAGTCCACCACCACCCTGCCTATTTCTGCCGTGAAGCAGTAATTCGTTTCGGTTTGAAGGGTGGGGCAGCCGTTGTAACTATACTGAGACCTTAGAACTTATACCTCAAGGTGGGTGGCGCATTTACGTTGTAGATGTCTATGGGCTCCAGTAACCACTTAACACCAGGTGGGCTGTGAGCTCGTCCACCCATCTAAGCTATAAAAAAGGCCCGATAGTAAATCGGGTTGATCCATCAGGATATACATATATACTGTGTATAAACTAATAAATAGACAATCGATTTTAAAATACTCCATCAACTATAGTACATTACAGAAATTAATTCGAATTCAAACAAAGTGAATACGAACTTGTTAGTCTAACGCTGGAGCCGTGTGTAACATCACAGAGAATGCTTTGTACGGACACCCCGACATATGGAACGTACACTTGTCACCACGAACGCATAATTTGTACTCCATTTACGGCTTTATCTTATACACTGCGCTCTGTAATAAAGTGGGGTCCGATTAAAGAGCTCGTTTTTCTACGTAGCAAATGTTCTGACTGGTGAACAGAGAGGGGCGCGAGGTCATCAAAAGTGCATTTTGTATTCGATCTATTGAAATTTTGTCGTAATAGATTTTTTTTTTTTTATTATTTTATCGCTTAGGTGTATGTGTGGACGAGCTGACGGCCCACCTGATATTAAGTGGTTACCAGAGCCCACAGTCATCTACAACGTAAATGCCGCCAACCACCTTGACATATGAGTTCTAATTTCTGAGATTTTACAGTACAAAGGCTGCCCCACCCTTCAAACCGAACCGCCTCACTGCTTCATGACAGAAATGGGCAGGGTCTTTCTGTATTTGTCACCTTTTAGTTCTTAAACGCCAATACTTAGAAACAATAATAGGTACTTGTGAATCCGCAAACCGAATTATTGTTTGCAGTGATGGATGTTTTATAATTGAGTTACTTTTAGTATAGATGTTGAAGTCATTGTTAATGCATGAGCTAGGGTAAATTCTGCATACATTGATGCCTCCACGCAGCCTATATCTGCTTCGAAGTAGTCACCAGTGTTTTGGGTTTGAAAGATTGGAATAGTCGATATAATTTTGAGAGTTAACAACAAAGGGAAGATCTTCCATCGAACGGGTGAAATAGATCTGTAGTTCGACCGTCGGTATGTTGTTTGGAATATGCAAATATATCTTGAAAATGTCAGTAGTGAGATTCAGGCATTGGCCATATTTTTTATGTTCGGTGGTACCACATACTATAATGGGGACTTGAGCGTCCTTGTGACGTGAACGTGACTTGATACGTCTCATCGTGGCTGGGTGATGGTATTTACGTTCCGTCTTTGGGTTTCTGAAACCACTTAGCACCAGATGGGCCATCCGTCCATACAAGAAAATAAATAAATGAATATAATGGTTTTTAGCTCGTCACTTTAATTATTTAAAATAAAATAATTTAACGTATATTTTATCGTAATTTAATTCCAAAATTCTAACTAGTAAATAATGTCACAGAACTTTTTTCTTCAATAGACGCCATATTTGTTATCTCTGTCACCATTGCTTTATTAACATTCCACGTTACGTCCGAACTCCTTTTCCAAGCAAGGGCAAGTGCGGCAAAATTAAAGAATATACAAATTATATACCATGACATGGGGTAAATTGGGATCCTGGGGTAAATTGGGACAAACCTGCGGAAGATTCTCAAAGTACCTGTAGCACGGAATCTACCTAATTTTGTTTATGTTAATATTTATCAATGTATAGAAGAAAAACCAAGTTAACTATGGAAGTACTAAATATGAGTTAAGTTGGTCCCAAAAATTCGTCAAATTAAATTGAAAATAGTGGTTGAAAAGTGCGTTTTAAAACAGCTTAAAGAACTTTTAAAAAAAGTAATATTATCGTTGTTTTTTCAATAAGATCACAGTTTATATAAGTTTTTAATACACCTGGAAATACCACAACAAACGGTAAGTTGCAATTTTCTTATTTTAAATACAATATTTCGANTATTTATTTATTTAACTCGAGTAATTCAACCCGTACTTCTTTTACAATAGTTATTTGTAATTTTTTTTTTCTTAGATGAATGGACGAGCTCACATCCCACCTGATATTAAGTGGTTACTGGAGCCCATAGACATTAACAACGTAAATGCGCCACCCACCTTGAGATATAAGTTCTAAGGTCTCAGTACAGTTACAACGGCTGCCCCACCCTTCAAACCGAAACGCATTACTGCTTCACGGCAGAAATAGGCGGGGCGGTGGTACCTACCCGTGCGGACTCACAAGAGGTCCTACCACCAGTAACGGTCAACGGGGCGATCAATTTGTCGACCATCAATCGTTAATCTATTAGTATTATAGTTGTTCCATATTTAATTCAAGAATAATAAGGCAATGATAGAGCTAATTACAAATGAATAAAGAATGCCATTGCAAATATTTAATTTTCAAGTACTCTCGACGAGGCGATGACAAATGTAATGGGAGGGTGCTTGTGAAATGAGGTGTGAATATTGCGACCCTACGGGATGTCCCGCCATGGGGTCCCGTTATGGGGTTGTGTTGCCCCATGAGGCCCGTGGACCAGCTGCCCACGTACCCTTTATGCGTACGAACACAATAGCTTTCGACAACGGACAGGTTGATGATGATTGTAGGTCGCCACTAATTGTTTTCGGTGTTAAAATCTTGACGTTTACCAATTTGGTCAAATTTCAACAGTTCAATTTAATTTTTTATATTGCGTAGATGAGTTAACGAGCCATTGCCCACCAGATGTTAAATGGTTACTAGAACTCCATTCTTCAAGAACTCGCAATTAAGCAGCGTCTTTCGGCGCTCGTGCATGGGCGCGTACTATCATTTTTTGGACATGTCTCCCGGCGAGGAAATGACTCCATAGAGCACCTTGTCGTTCAGGGCAAAGTAGAAGGCACCAGACCGCGTGGAAGGGTGCCCATGCGATGGATCCACCAGATCGAGTCGGCAGTTGGCGGCTGTTTGCATGAGTGTACCAGGCTAACCACAAGCCGCGAGGAGTGGCGATTGCTCGTGAGGCGCATAGCATCTGCCCACACCAATTATACTCGATGACGACCACGACCGCTCTGACAAGAGTGATACGACATACGAATACGAAGAACTGATAAACATCACAACGTAAATTCCACCACCGACCTTGAGATAAACCTGCGGAAGGATTCAGTTCTCTCTGTATTTTGTATCGTATGTTCCATAGGGAGTGCTGTGAGGAATTGTTTCAGAGGATTCCATAATCTGGTTTTCACCGTTGCACTGCCCGCCACCGGAGTAGAGTTCATCCATACTATTTAGAACCACCGTGTTTATTCAGAGTGCGCTTCCAGAGATATTTTTTGCCAAGCACGATCCGACTTTAGAATAAGCCTCCTTCTACTGTTTTTCCCCGGCGCTATGACCTATTGTTCTTTAAACGAGGCTTGTGAAGAGTACTTAACGGTAGGCAGCTTGGTTCTGGATGGTAACCACTCGCCATCAGAGTAGCCGTATACTCGTCTATGCGGTCTGTCTATGAAGGTCTGTCAGGCTAGAACTGTTTATTTTTAAAATGTATATACTTATATGCATTAGATATGTTTAAAGTTCAACGCACAGGTTACGTGCGGTCCAGACGTTCAGGTGGTTCTAAGATACTCACTATCTTCAGTCCATCTGGTCGTTCTAGTCAAACCCGGCATTTTTATCCGGTTAGACAGAACTGAGAGTAGCAGACTGTAAATGCGGCTTGCGTATTAGTAAGTTGGTGCAGTGCTTACAAAATGACTGTGCTCAATACTAACTGTTAGAATCAGGCCAAATTTAGTTGAAGTAATCATTAATCAAAGTTCTATCTCCTTCTTACTTCGTCACCATTATAATATATTATTGTATCATTATGATAGGGCCGCGAGGAAAGGCGACGTTTTGTAAAGCGCACCACCACCCAAACTGATGATCACGACCAGTCTGCCAAGAGTGCAAACGCCTGAGGAAAAAAATCGTTATGCTCTTTCATTATTCGCTAGTTATTCAATTGCCTGTTTTGTTTTCAGCATATCTTTTACTGATGATTAATGGGGTTTTTGCGCTTCGCCGAGGTCCGCATCATCCGCCGGGGCAGACGCCGGTGGAACGTCCTCACCATCATTACAAACCAATGGGGACAGGTTCCGTTACTGGCGACTCGCAGCTGCTGCATGACGCTAAGTGAGTTATTGTTTTACAGATTAATTTTAATATTGGTCGCGATTTTGTTAAAATGCCCACAAGAGTGGTAATGTATACTAATATTACAAAGTTCTATACTATTATTACAAAGAGGAAAGATTTGTTTGTTTGTTTGTTTGTATTGAATAGGCTCCGAAACTACTGAACCGATTTGAAAAAATCTTTCACTGTTTGGAAGTTACACTATTCCCGAGTGACATAGGCTATAATTTTTTTCCAAAAAAAATTGGGTTTCTTACTAAAACTCCAATAATGTAACCCAAGGGTATAAAAAATACCTAAAACGTTCTTTAGATCGCGTGTCCTGCGAAACTATTGATGATATAATAGAATAAAATAATGTACTGCGACTATTTACAAAAAGTGTCGCGACAGCATATATCTGTCAATGTGTATGATCGATCGTTATAAGGTTTTAAATTGAGTTATAAACGATAACGCTGTTCATTCATAGCGCAAATGGGTACTAATCCTATTATTTTAATAATCCAGGCATTTAGAGGAGGACTCAAAAGTATTGACACCGGAGATGTTGGCTAGTATGACACCCGAAGAATTGGAGTTTCATTATTTTTCAATTCATGATTTTGACAGAAATACGAAATTGGACGGCTCGGAAATGTTAAAAGTAAGTACAGTATAGTTTTGTTTAATGTTGTTATGTGTTTTCATTGCAACATAACACTTCGATAAAGCGGCACGACGCGAGAATCCTCTCATCGTAACCGCCGGTAACTACATTCCCGATTCTGCGGACAGAATGGAAAGCAGTGGACGTCGCCCCAAACGCGTCATTTCGGATCCTCCCTATCCACTAACGGTGCTTTTAGGTACCTCACGCACCGGTCATCGTTCTCGTCGAACCCGTCGCTTGCGACGAAGGGCTCGACGAGTAAATTAACCCTCAGACACAGCCCACCGAGTTTCTCGCCGGATCTTCTGGGTCGCGTTTCCGATCCGGTGGTAGATTCTGCGAAGCACGGCTCTTGCTAGGGTTCGTGTTAGTTAGCAACGTCGTCAGGTTTGAGCCCTGTGAGCTCACCTACTAGTTAAGGTTCCGCTGATATAGCCTCTCAAGGCTATCAGCTTAGGTAGAAAAAAAAAGCAACATAATAGATTTTTTTAGTTAGTGTTTTATTTCCTTTGTATTTTTTTTTTATTGCCCTTGTAGGCAGACAGACGAGCATACGGCCCACCTGATGGTGAGTGGTTACCGTCACCCATGGACTTCAGCAATGCCAGGGGCAGAGCCAAGCCGCTGCCTACCGCTTAATACTCTCCACAAGCCTCGTTTAAAGAAGGACATGTCAACAGGTTCCTAACAGACAAGCTACTACTTAACGTCACGCAAATTATTGTAATTATATTTAACTAAGTTGTACTACTTATCTCCTTGCAGTACTATGTATAATTTTATACAACAAAAAGATTTCGTTTGAAAGTTCCAATTAATGTATATATTTAAATCATATCTATGTATTTTGGATTTATAAGATCATTTCTGACATAACTTTTTTTGTTTTGATTAGCTTGTAGTTTGTTTGATTTATGATCTATAGAAATAAACTACATAATAATATATGCTTTATTCGTAGGCTGTCTATCACACTTTAGACCATGAAAGTCCGAATCCAGATGACGATTCTTCAATAGAACCGGAGGCAAACGATTTAGACTCATTTATTGGTGAGTTTCGTACTTTAAACATTATATATAGTTATTATATTAGTTAGTTTATTTTGATGTTGTATTTAGGTGCTATCTATATATATATAAATAAAATTTGAGTGTTTGTTTGTAATATTCAAATAACCGCTTTTCACTACATGCATATGAATATATATACGGTGCATACACCAAAATAACATCTTTTACAATTTTTGTCTGTCTGTCTGTTGGTTCCGGCTAATCTCTGGAACGGCTGGACCGATTTTGACGAGACTTTCACAGATAGGTAGCTGATGATATAAGGAGTAACTTAGGCTACTTTTTTTAGACTAGCTTCGCCCCGCGGCGTCACCCGCGTTACGACAATAACCGCGGCACTAAGCTATCAATAATAAAATTTAATGTTTCCGAAGCGAAGCGAGGGCGGGTCGCTAGTTTACAATAAAATTCTATAGCACTTTCGAAACGTGCTGTAAATACATTATTGTGTTTTAAACTCGAACTTGTAGTTGATGCATTCCTATATTATTCTATTAGATTTGTAGGCAGCGGCTTGGCTCTGCCCCTGGCATTGCTGAAGTCCATGGGCGACGGTAACCACTCACCATCAGGTGGGCCGTATGCTCGTCTGCCTAGAAGGGCAATATTGTATCAATTCTTCCCGTAATCTGTGTCTGTGTAGGTTTAGTAGTGAATATCGTGCCGATTTGGTATCATCTTATAGTTTACCTCTCCCGTGAAGCATTTATGCGTTCATATTTATAAGTTAGGGTAGGTTGAGAAATATTCTTTTTTTTATTGTTTAGATGGGTGGACGAGCTCACAGCCCACCTGATGTTATATGGTGATTGGAGTCCATATACATCTACAACATAAATGCGCCACCCACCTTGAGATATAAGTTCTAAGGTCTCAGTACGGTTACAACGCTGCTTCACGGCAGAAATAGGCAGGGTGGTGGTACCTACCCGTGCGGACTCACAAGAGGTACTACCACCAGTAATTACGCAAATTATAATTTTGCGGGTTTGATTTTTATCACATGATGTTATTCCTTCACCGTGGAAGTCAATTAATGGAAGTCGATCAAATTCATAGGAATGTAATTGACCTTACTTAATGAAAGTAGGCGATTACGCTTACTTCATGTTGATGTATTCCGATAACCGTTTCGTAAGCGGTCATAGGAGGCTGCAGAATGGTTTGCTTGTCTAAGTAAGGAAAAAAAACCTTATCCGTCAAATAACAATATTTTAATTTCAGTGCTGGTGGACCGAACCTTACAATTTGATGATACAGACGGCGACGGTTACGTCTCGTATCCTGAATACCGTGCGGCCAGAGCCAGGAATCCTTCAAAGAAAGCATCAAGAATACTTGATAACAGACCACAGGATAGTAGTAAATAGGACTATTTTAATTTATCGTACCTGAAACTCGAGACCTAAAGCAGGATTTCGCTCTGAAGTGCTCACCACCAATCTGAATTCCGTAGCAAATGTCCCCTGTGCTAATCTCGCCAAGTGACCCGTAGAATTCAAGCATTATTTACGTTGAAAACAATTTGGGGCCAAAATTATTTGAGGTAAATTCATCGTTAAAATGATAACTAATAATTTTTGGTAGCTTTTCTTGAAATATGTGTGTTAATTCCTAAATTACTATATTGACAAACAAATTTGTCGTATGTTCGAAAACGACTATGAGATTTAAAGGTATGATGCCTCTTAATTGTCTTGTTTATTTCCAAACTATTTTATTAACTTGGCCTCACTATGCAACAGAGTCTTTCACTGTAGTTTTAACCAACGTTCGGGAAGTCCGAGTAACTTGAAAATTTCACCCATGTATCAAAGACCTATGACAGTACAATTTTTAATTTGGCCTATTGTTCCAACCATGATTGCAAATTGAAAGAAATTTAAATTTAAATTTCACTTCGGTTTTGTTGCTCTTAAATTAGTTTTATAGTTTAGAGTTTAAAGTAAATCGTAATAGGTACGTAAATATTTTTTTCCTTTTATAATTTCAGCTGTGGTTGTGTTATTTACTTTGTATTAAGTGAGACAGGAACTTCAAAAATTCTCAATGTCAAAACTACAGCAGATTGATCTCTCTGACCTTGTTGCTGATGAAATAATTATCTAGCTCAGTAAATGTTTGGTTAAACATTATTAAATAAATTTGTTAATCATTTTGAATTCAACAGCCCTATGATTTTTTCCTGGGTTATGCTTGACGAAAATACTTTTGAGACCGGAACACATGTATATTCGCAAGTAATCTGTAAATATTTGTTTAATAATTACATAAGTTTACGCTACAATGTATATTTTACAGTTCAAACAGATCTTTTTTATTCAGAGAACGAATAGAAAATGTCAAAACAAAATTGTATAAAATATAATTAAAAACGAAAACAGCAAAAGTAAATCAACGTTCATTGATTTAAGGACAGAGCTAGTTTTTTCTCGAATTAAATAAATTATGTTGGGTGTTTGGTTATAATTATTTTCCACATCTGTATCTTGTGTCGCAGTTCATTCCTCTCTCTCCCCAGTCAGCGGCGTGCTTAATGCCGTACGTGACGTTTTCGTATTGTTCCAAATCCACGGAATTGCTGTAATAATTGAAAATTAATATACAGTAATGGTAATTACAACGCAAATAAGAAGAGTATGGTTTTGTTTAAGAATAATATAATTAACTAGCGACCCGCCCTCGCTTCGCTTCGGAAACATTAAAACACACATGAAACCAAAAAAATAAAATAAAATAAATTTAAACAAAAGTAGCCTATGTTCATCAGGGACAATGTCGGCTTCTAATGGAAAAAGAATTTTTCAAATCGGTCCAGTAGTTTCGGAGCCTATTCGAAACAAACAAACAAACAAATCTTTCCTCTTTATAATATTAGTATAGATTTAGCATTCGGCAATTGTTTTTTTTAGGCTGGTAACAATTTTGCTAAAATTTTAATACTGCTACGGTTTATGGTGTCAAGGTATGGTTGAGTATCTCCGTTCTACCTATTTCTGCCGTGAAGAATTTGTGATTCGTGAGAAATCATGATATAGGGCTTATACATTTTTTTTATTGCTTAGATTGGTGGATGAGCTCACAGCACACCTGGTATTACGTGGTTACTGGAGCCCATAGACATCTACAACGTAAATGCGCCACCCACCTTGAGATATGAGTTCTAAGGTCTCTAGTATAGTTACAACGGCTGCCCCGCCCTTCAAACGGAAACGCATTACTGCTTCACGGCAGAAATAGGCAGGGTGGTGGTACCTACCCGCGCCGATTCACAAGAGGTCCAAGTACCACAAGTAAATATAATATAAAATATAATAAGTAATAGCGTAATACGAGAATGCTGAGACTTTTACCTCACGTCCAGTTTGCCGGCGACGTCTACTTTGATTAGCTTAGTTCATATTTTGAGATAATCTTGAAATATTTGTATTAACGGGTTCTAGCTAAATTGAACTCAAAGAATGTAAAAAGGTTTTAAATCAAATCGAATTTATGATAAGCTCTAATATTGGCTCAATCTGAGATCTACGGAAACGTTTGTGAGATTTTTGGTTTTTTTTTCAATATATTATAAATATGTGATCAATAGAAGAAAAAAAAATCGATGGTAGACGAGCATATCTGATGGTAAGTGATCATCGTTACCTACGGACGTCAGCTAACCCCATAGGCATAGGGAAGCTACTGTCTGACGCCAGCGAGTTGTCAATCTATTTATCTGACTATAAATGTCATTTATGCTTTGTCACATTTGAGTCGACTATTATCAAAGGCGGCAATCTGACTTTTGGACAATGATAGGTAAATCAGAAAAACAAATTATTGACTTTGTATTCCATTGGCAGTCACAAAACTTTTCGGAACGACATCTTAGATAAATAAGAGGTTAACTATTAACCTTTATTTAATGCAGGTTTTGAACCGTATTCTTTGAAGGAGACGATTATATTCAAATAAATCTGTATTGACATATCAATAAAATTTTTTCATCCAAATGCACAGATTGCCACCTTTGATAATAGACGACTCATTTAATCATAGATTATACACTTAATAATTTAACATACCCTTGGAATAGCTTCGTGCCTTGCAGAAGTAAATCAGCTCCTGACGAGTACAAGCCAGCCTGGTGTGGTCTCTGACAAGATAGTAAGTACAGGCAGCCGTAATCCTTATTCTGTTGGCCAGCCAAGTAGCTCAAATATAACAAGATTTCATCTTCGGTGATGTAGGACACGTTACTATTATCTGTAAATAAATGCGAATGGGTACTGTTGGTTACGTCTGTCACAACACTGTCAGAAATATTTAGGATTATATTTTTAATATTAATTATCTTTACTGAGATAAGTCACGCGTAGGTTAATAATAATTTTATTATTTTTTAGAGAAACCAGGAGACGGGGTGTCTCCTGTGACTGTTTATTTTATTATCTATGGTGACTATAGATGATTAAAAGAGAAAAAAAAAACAGATTTCTTGATACACAACTCGCGTGCCACCTACGTGCCTACTTACATTGATAGAATCGACCGAAACATCATCCGGAGTGGCACCCAAACAAATACAATATCGGATGAATGGTGTAGACACAGAGAAAACCATTAATTTAAAATTTTGTAGACGAATAGACTAGAAATGTGTGATGTAACTACATACTTACTTTAATTTAAAAAATTACTTTAAATGAGCTTTTGAGCTAGGCTGAAGAAAAAGTTACGGCGATTGGAGTGTTGTCAAAAAAAACAAAAAGGAGTAAAATAAAGATTCATGACGCCACCGGTCGACGAGAGATAGGGTGAGATATTCCAACGACGAACCCATTTATTTCTGACCACTCTTCAAATGTTAATTAATCGCTGTGTGATTTTACTGTTGGATGTAAAATAATGATCCAGATATACATTTATCACATATATCCTTCCAACTAACGGCGCTTTGGCATATTAAAAAAAAAACAAATTTGAAACTAAATACGCACAAAGGATTTCCGAAAAGAACATTAACAATATTGGTTGGTCGCCGTTGTCTGCGCAAAAACAGATAATCCTTTACCAATGGGATTATTGTGAGCAAACATGAAATATCCATCCGACGTAAACGGGATTAAAGTTGTCTGGACTGGTCAGTTTCGGCACGTGCCTTTTGTGTGGCAGATGCCGGATGTCAATAAAGGTTTTTTCGTGGTTGAATTGCTGCCTAAGTGTGATTGTAGCACATTAGATAGAATCGTAGTTTTGAATTTGCGAACAATATGAGCATATGTGTTTTTTTTGCTTAGAATTTCTGTTATTTGTTGTGAAGCCTTAGGGGTGTGTTTTTTATTTTTTTTATTGCATTGATGGGTGGACGAGCTCACAGCCCACCTGGTGTTAAGTGGTTACCGGAGCCTATAGACATCGACAACGTAAATGCCGCCACCCACCTTGAGATATGAGTTCTAAGGTCTCAGTATAGTTACAACGGTTGCCCCACCCTTCACCGAAACTCATTATTACTTCACGGCAGATATAAGAAGAGTGGTGGTACCTACCCGTGCGGACTCACAAGAGGCTCTAACACCAGTAATTACGCAAATTATAATTTTGCGGGTTTGATTTTTATTACACGATGTTATTCCTTCACCGTGGAAGTCAATCGTGAACATTTGTTAAGTACGTATTTCATTAGAAAATTTGGTACCCACCTGGGATTCGAACACCGGTGCATCGCTCAACACGAATGCACCGGACCTCTTATCCTTTAGGCCACAACGACTTCTGATATAAAAGCTGGTTTGTTAGAGCGGGTAGCTTGTGCGTAATATTTAAATTGAATATGATATAATTTATATTACTTAAGTTACTTTATAAATTAATTTGGGCTACACGGCATAGGATTAATATGGCTAGATTCTATTGATTTATAAACGTATATTTTTGTTATTCACCAATGCGGTGGACCGACCAAATTAAAACTGCAGTAGAGGAGTTCCCCTAAATGAGTGCAGTAGAATGGCCTCGAGCAGGGAGAGATGGCGCGACATCGTGAGACGCATCAAGTCTGCCCCTTCCAACACTACATGATGATAACGACCACTCTCTCAAGAGTGACACGATTGAGAAGAAGAATTTGTGTTATTACTTATTTTATGTAATATAGGATATGGTGATAACACTAATAATAGTGTTAGTAAGTAAATATAATATGTTACGTCGAGCGTTCTGCTCACTGGATCGACGGTCCTAATGTTATTTATTGTTCGGAACTTGTTCACAATTATACTACTATAGGCTAGTTTCAATCAAATATTAATTTCGAATAACATTTAATTATGGCAGAATGCATTTTGTCGAAACAAAAATCACCGTCATACCTTCAAGACTTCTTCCATAATAATGTCCCCCTTTCCACGCTCCAGCTCCGAAGAATCCGGCGGCGAGCACCAGCGCTTTCAAAACTATCAGTATAACCAGATTGGTGAGGTTCAGACTTAAGACCTGCAACAGAAGTGCTCTAATTAAATTTTAATGTAATTTAAATAAATTTTGAAGAATGGCTACATGCAATGAACGCAATTTTTATTATTAAATATGTAACAGTTATAGTTCATCATCATCATCATCATGTATTCAATAAATTTACTTGATGAAATTTCTGCTGCGAGAGGCAAGTGTCGATTTTTTTATAACTAAATGGTATATGCTAAGTCGTCGTGGCCTAAAGGATAAGACGTCCGGTGCATTCGTGTTGTGCGATGCACCGGTGTTCGAATCTCAGGCGGGTACCAATTTTTCTAATGAAATATGTACGTAACAAATGTTCACGATTTACTTCCACGGTGAAGGAATAACATCGTGTAATAAAAATCAAACCCGCAAAATTATAATTTGCGTAATTACTGGTGGTAGGACCTCTTGTTTTTTTTTTTTTTTTTATGATTGAAAGTTTACTGGTGGCCCGAAGGCCTTTCCAGTTTCACCAGGACAGGTGGGCGAGCAAAGGCTCAGCCAANCCTGACGAACCTTGTGGTACCTGTTTCTCATACCATGTTCAATAACAGGCACTGGGTATTCCAACAAGATTCGGCGCCAGTTCATAGAGCGAAGAGCACACAAGACTGGCTGGCGGCGCGTGAAATCGACTTCATCCGGCACGAAGACTGGCCCTCCTCCAGTCCAGATTTGAATCCGTTAGATTACAAGATATGGCAACATTTGGAGGAAAAGGCGTGCTCAAAGCCTCATCCCAATTTGGAGTCACTCAAGACATGCTTGATTAAGGCAGCCGCCGATATTGACATGGACCTCGTTCGTGCTGCGATAGACGACTGGCCGCGCAGATTGAAGGGGCCTGTATTCAAAATCACGGAGATAATTTTGAATAAACTTTAGTGTCATAAGAATCTATGTTTTGTTAAGTTCATTTTGGTATATGAATGGTTACATAATGAATAAACTTGTTTCAATTATTTTACATTAAACATGTGACAGAATTTATGACCTGACTATGTATAAAGGTTTTAAATCAAACAGAATTTATGATAAGCTCTAATATTGGTTCAATCTGAAATCTGCGGAAGCCTTTGTGAGATTTTTTGATTTATTTCAGTTTATTATAAATATTATTGTAGATTTTGAATTTTGAGAACTTATAAATATAATGTGATCAATAGAAAAAAGAATCGTCGATGGCAGACAAGCATTTATGATGATAAGTGATCACCGTTACCTACGGACGTCAGCTAACCCCATAGGCATAGGGAAGCTACTGTCTGACGCCACCGAGTTGTCAATCTATTTATCTGACTATAAATGTCATTTATGCATTGTCACATTTAATTTAACATACCCTTGGAATAGCTTCGTGCCTTGCAGAAGTAAATCAGCTCCTGACGAGTATAAGCCAGCCTGGTGTGGTCTCTGACAAGATAGTAAGTACAGGCAGCCGTAATCCTTATTCTGTTGGCCAGCCAAGTAGCTCAAATATAACAAGATTTCATCTTCGGTGATGTAAGACACGTTACTATTATCTGTAAATAAATGTGAATGGGTACTGTTGGTTATGTCTGTCACAACACATCAGAAATAATTAGAATAACATTTTTATTATTAATTATCTTTACTGACATAAATCACGCGTAGGTAAATAATAATTTAATTCGTTTTTAGAGTAACCAGGAGACGGAGTGTGTCCTGTGACTGTGTATTTTATTATTATATATATGGAGACTATAGGTGATTGAAAGAAAAAAAAACAGATTTCTTGACACAATATGCGCGCCGAGTACTTTATGTGGCATCCTAAACAAAAAAAAATCGGATGAATGGTGTAGGAACGCAGAGAGGTCAAACATTAATTTTAGCTAATAGTCGTAGATAGTCGAAATTCGACTCTAATTAATTGAAATTATAATTTTGAAAATTATTATTGTTGTATTGTCAAAGACTATTATACTTCTATTATATAATCACAGATTTCGCCAAGACTTACACTATAGACAAATAATACTAAAGACAAACAATATTAATCTATTCTCAATTTGACCACAGGCTTTAAACAATAACAAAAGTTAAACAATAAATAAAGAGTAGGTATATATAGTTATATGTGTTGTGTCAAATACATGATAGTGTGTGTAATGTTTTTTTATTGATTTTATGTACTTTTTATGCGAAAAAAAATTTACATTTTGCGCTCTATCTCTATAAGTTTATTATTATTAGGAAAATATCATACTACTCCGTCCGCGCATTTTTTGTAAAAAGGGTACAAAGTTTTTGCTTCACATATTAATATATAGATTTTTTAGAAGAATAGATTGGAAATATTTGATGTAACTACATACTTACTTTAATTTAAAAATCAACACTAATTAAGCTTCTGAGCTAGGTTGAAACATTTAGGGTAAGAAAATGTTAAGGCGATTGGAATGTTGTCAAAAAAAACAAAAAGCAGTAAGATAAAGATTCATGATGTTAAACACTATGACGCCACCGGTGTATAAGAGATAGGGTGAGATACTCCAACGACGAACCCATTCATTTCTGACCACTCTTCAAATGTTAATTTATCACATTTATTTAGAACCACATTTATCATATATTTCTTTCCATCTGACGGCGCTTTGGTATATTAAAAAAAAAAAAAAAATCGAAACTAAATACGCACAAAGGATTCCGAAAAGAACATTAGCAATATTGGTTGGTCGCCGTGGTCTGCGCAAAAACAGATAATCCTTTACCAATGGGATTATCGTGAGCAAACATGAAATATCCATCCGACGTAAACGGGATTAAAGTTGTCTGGACTGGTCAGTTTCGGCACGTGCCTTTTGTGTGGCAGATGCAGGATGCCAATAAAGGTTTTTTTCGTGGTTGAATTGCTGCCTAAGTGTGATTGTAGCACATTAGATAGAATCGTAGTTTTGAATTTGCGAACAATACAAGCATGTGTTTTTTTTTTGTTTAGAATTACGGTTATTTGTTGTGAAGCCTTAGGGGCGTGTTTTTTAATTTTTTTTATTGCATAGATGGGTGGACGAGCTCACAGCCCATCTGGTGTTAAGTGGTTACCGGGGCCCATAGACATCTACAATGTAAATGCCGACACCCACCTTGAGATATGAGTTCTAAGGTCTCAGTACAGTTACAAAGGCTGCCCCGCCCTTCAAACCGAAACGCATTATTACTTCACGGCAGAAATAGGCAGGGTGGTGGTACCTACCCGTGCGGACTCACAAGAGGCTCTACCACCAGTAATTACGCAAATTATAATTTTGCGGGTTTGATTTTTATTACACGATGTTATTCCTTCACCGTCGAAGTTAATCGTGAACATTTGTTAAGTACGTATTTCATTAGAAAAATTGGTACCCACCTGGGATTCGAACACCGGTGCATCGCTCAACACGAATGCACCGGACCTCTTATCCTTTAGACCACAACGACTTCTGATATAAAAACTGGTTTGTTAGAGCGGGTAGCTTGTGCGTAATATTTAAATTGAATATGATATAATTTATATTACTTAAGTTACTTTATAAATTAATTTGGGCTACACGGCGTAGGATTAATATGGCTAGATTCTATTGATTTATAAACGTATATTTTTGTTATTCACCAATGCGGTGGACCGACCAAATTAAAACTGCAGTAGGAGTTCCCCTAAATGAGTGCAGTAGAATGGCCTCGAGCAGGGAGAGATGGCGCGACATCGTGAGACGCATCAAGTCTGCCCCTTCCAACACTACATGATGATAACGACCACTCTCTCAAGAGTGACACGATTGAGAAGAAGAATATGTGTTATTATTTATTTTATGTAATATATATGGTGCTAACACTAATAATAGTGTTCGTAAGTAAATATAATATGTGTTACGTCGAGCGTTCTGATGACTGGATCGACAGTCCGAATGTCATTTATTGTTCGAAACTTGTTCACAATTATTATTATACTACTATAGGCTAGTTTCAATCAAATATTAATTTCGAATAACATTTAATTATGGCAGGATGCATTTCGTCGAAACAAAAATCACGGAATACCTTCAAGACTTCTTCCATAATAATGTCCGCCTTTCCACGCTCCAGCTCCAAAGAATCCGGCGGCGAGCACCAGCGCTTTCAAAACTATCAGAATAACCAGATTGGTGAGGTTCAGACTTAAAACCTGCAACAGAAGTGCTCTAATTAAATTTTAATGTAATTTAAATAAATTTTGAAGAATGGCTACATGCAATGAACGCAATTTTTATTATTAAATATGTAACAGTTATAGTTCATCATCATCATCATGTATTCAATAAATTTACTTGATGAAATTTCTGCTGCGAGAGGCAAGTGTCGATTTTTTTATAACTAAATTGTATATGCTAAGTCGTCGTGGCCTAAGATGGGATAAGACGTGGGATAAGACGTCCGGTGCATTCATGTCGAGCGATGCAACGGTGTTCAAATCACGCAAGCGGGTACCAATTTTTCTAATGAAATATGTACTTAACAAATGTTCACGATTTACTTCCACGGTGAAGGAATAACATCGTGTAATAAAAATCAAACCCGCAAAATTATAATTTGCGTAATTACTGGTGGTAGGACCTCTTGTGAGTCCGCACGGGTAGCTACCACCATTCTGCCTATTTCTGCCGTGAAGTAATAATGCGTTTCGGTTTAAAGGAAGGGCAGCCGTTGTAACTACTTTCATTTTATTATCCGACTAGCGACCCGCCCACGCTTCGCTTCGGAAACATTAAAACAAACATGAAAGAAAAAGAAAAATATTTAAAAAAAATAAAAAAAAGTAGCCTATGTTCATCAGGGACAATGTCGGCTTCTAATGGAAAAAGAATTTTTCAAATCGGTCCAGTAGTTTCGGAGCCTATTCGAAACAAACAAATCTTTCCTCTTTATAATATTATTAGTATTAGTATAGATGTCTCGAAAGAGTAACTAGGACGATTAGGCGTTTAATAAAATTAAAATAAATTATTGCATAATTCTCTATGTTCTAAAATAGCTATTATTAGAGTATCGGGCTATGGCATGTTGAGTTAGTATTATTCATACCTCGAAAAGGCGAAGTTGTCGTGGTCTAAAAGATAAGACACCCGGTCTATCAAGCGATGCGCCTATGTCGGTGTTCGATTTCCGCAGGGAGATATAATTTTTTCTTATGAAGGAATAAACATCGTGTAATAAAAATCAAATCTACTTAATAAAGTATTATTTGTGGTTTTTACAAATGAAACATAAACCTCAAGTTAGGTTGCGACATACCTCAAGCCTCAAGTTAGTTTGCGGAATTTTCATTGTGATGTTTTTGGACTGCCGTAACCACTGCTATTAAGTGTCGAGTCGTGAGCTAGTCTACCCATCTAAGCAATAAGCGAAAAGATTTTAATTATCAATTCACCGACATAGAAGCTTACACTTCATAAGTAAGAAAAAATACGGAAAATATTTAAAGATTAGTTAGTGTATGTGGTTTTCTTCAGATTTACAAAATTAGGAATAGGTAATCTATGATGCTAGTATTGTTTTTTTTTATCGTTAAAACAAATTATCTTTTGCAGTAGTGACTCACTTATTCAAGCCTTATCTTCACATTCCTTCGTTGGAAGAATTTGAGAGCTTTACTGTTTGGGACAATAGCAAATTTTGGGACGACATTATGCAAGAATGCAGCGGTGAAGATAGGGATTTTTAGTCCATAACCCATTGAATTTCTCGCCGGATCTTCTCAGTGAGTCGCGATTCCGATACGATGTTTGGGCTAAGGTTATCAAATTCTCTGAGGTTGAGCTTGTGAGTTTACCTACCCCTCCAGGATAGTTGGAATAGCCTCTTAGGCTACCCGCGATTAGGTAGGAAAAATAGTTTGAGTTATTTTTAAAATCGTGATCTCTAAATTAAAGTCTAAATCGATGTAATGATTAAAGGTATCAATCAGATGTCTTAAATGGAGAACAAATATGTTATTTATCCCCGTTGATTGTAATGAGGAGTTCAATTTGGGAATATCCCGGGAAAGAAAACAAAATTAAATTTTGTTTTGATAAATTTCAAATATTTGTATTCTACAATTTTTGGTCTACGTCAACGAATTTCCATAAAGGCGTGGACCAAAAACAAACAATCACTACATAGTATAAAACAAAGTCGCTTTCTCTGTCCCTATGTATCTATGCTTAAATCTTTAAAACTAGCGACCCGCCCTCGCCTCGCTTCGGAAACATTAAAACACACAAAGGAAAAAAAAAAAATTAAATAATTTTTTTTTAAAAAAAGTAGCCTATGTTCATCAGGGACAATGTCGGCTTCTAATGGAAAAAGAATTTTTCAAATCGGTCCAGTAGTTTCGGAGCCTATTCGAAACAAACAAACAAACAAATCTTTCCTCTTTATAATATTAAGTATATAGACTACGCAACGGATTTTGATGCGTTTTTTTTTAATAGATATAGAGTGATTGAAGAGGCAGGTTTATATGTATAATAACATCCATTAAATAGTGTTGAAATCAATAATAAATTACAGTTTCCGAAGCGAAGCGAGGGCGGGTCGCTAGTATATAATAATTTTGGTATATTGACTTTTGTCACGTTACTTTAACTTTGCTTTGGCGGGATTCATGCAAAAAGCGTGCGATATAATACAGAGGTGCTTTACAAACCTGCGAAACGCAGTCGAAACCAACCTGACTGCTGCCCGTGGACCTCGCTATGAAGTCCTTCGCAATGCTCGTTATCACCTGACCACCGGTGCCGCTGAAGAAATTACTCGCTGATTCCATGAAAGTCGATCTTCCGTACTGAGTAGTGTCATTCGCGTCGAACCTCGATATCGTTTCTCGACTCTCATTGAAAGGTGCCGGTGGTCTTTCTCTCGGCAACAAGGCAACTGTATCGTAACCTTTTTTCGGGAAGATTTTCTTTGCGTATTGCGGAGACGAGTATGCTCCCGAGTGTTCGCCTGAAGCGAGCGTTAAGCAGGATAAGAGGATTATGATCGCGACCATCCTGGTCGAATGTCGGTAAGCGAATGCTTGGAGGAAGCAGGTAGTGCTATCGACGGATAGCATCGGTACATTATGCGGTGCTTCGTTTACTGTCACTTGTTTTATCTCTTCCTGACCGCTTTTGTTTGTCGCATGCACGATGACATCTACTAATGGGTCTATTGTTTTTGTGTTTTTACTGATACAGAACTCGAAACATTTAGATAGGTACGGTCCGTAGAAGCGAATCTGTATTGTAACGAGTTCAAATGTACCATTCAAATTGAAATAAAATTTATTATTTTAAATGATGAGCATAGAGTTGGGATTCAAGAGACTGGTGATGCTGGGAACCTTCAAGTATTGGTACTTACATTAAATTTTAAATAAAGCTAAGAACCACGTTGTATTGAATGTTAGTTATGAAATGAAATCGAATATTTTTTACAGAATATCATCACCACCACCACTCCGCCTATTTCTGCCGTGAAGCAGCAATGCATTTCGGTTTGAAGGGTGGGGTAGCCGTTGTAACTATACTGAGACCTTAGAACTTATATCTCAAGGTGGGTAGCACATTTATGAACTAGGGGCACAAATCTATGGGCTCCAGTAACCATTTAACACCGGGTGGGTTGAGAGCTCGTCCACCCATCTAAGCAATAAAAAAAAAAACAGAATAACAATGGCAAACTCACCGGAACATGTTTGTTTACGTCAAACGTGTCAATTGAGATGACGGCACCTTTGAGTGCACATGTGGAGCGTTTTGTTGATTACACAGTGACATAACAATACGTAACAATCACAATTCTGTCTGCACTTCTAAATTTAAAGTAGGTTAAGGAAAAGTAGGTTTCTTTTGACTTCGACTGTTGTTTTCAAGTGTCTCGTTTTTTATCTATTTTTTCTTAATTTCTTGCTGAGGTGCATTAACTTACCGCCCACCTGGTTTTAAGTAGTCACCGAAGCTTATAGATATTAACAACGTAATTGCCACCACCCATCTTGAGCTATAGGTGGTAGCTACCAGGGCGAGCTCACAAATGCCCTATCACCAATAGCGTTTTCCGGATTGTTCCTATGCTTGCTTCCCTGAGTCTTAAATAAGGATGTAATGCAACATAAAATTCTTCACGTTTAGCTGGCTGTGATTGATAGTTGATTTCAAATTTGCATTGTTTGTGGGAGTCGACTGCTATAAGGAGCGTATATTTATTTATTGAATAAATTGTTTGCCATATCCCACAGATATTGTAATCAAACCAAACAATTGAAATAAAAGCGGTAGTAAATCTAAGAAACCTATTTATGGCTATACCCTGTGGTCAATAATCTTAAAGGTATGCCACTTAATTTCTAAGATATGAAAAGGGAAACTTGAGCACAATTGCACAGTAAATATTGAAATAGATCAATTTTATACCTACTTGACTACGGAAATTGATGCCATTATGACGACTAGAGACCTAATACCGCATCTAGGTAGAAGGACTTCAACGTATTAGAAGAATTAGAATAAGAAAAGGAAAAATGACAGACGGCAGTGGTAGAAATAGGAGAGAAGAAAAGGGATGTAAAAGCTTTAAGACTTTTATAACAATAATTAATATAATATTATTATACACTATTATTATTAACATTAAACATTCCATAACGGGTCAAATAACCCATTTTGAACTTTTGCATTGAAAATGCACGTATCGTCTTATTGCGTTTGCACATTTGACTTCAAGACTTTTTCTCACCAATTAATCTACTGTTATTGTACTATTTTTTTCTTTTGTTTTGTTTATTTTGAGTAATACTTGTCGTATACCGTTATCTACCCGCTATGGTAGAAATAGGTACCAGTTAGTGTTGGTATGATTAGTGTTAATATACAATAACGTTCATATAACTGGTTACTGGTGGTAGGGCCTCTTGTGAGTCCGCGTGGGTAGGTACCACCACCCTGCCTATTTCTGCCGTGAAGCAATAATGCGTTTCGGTTTGAAGGGTGGGGCAGCTGTTGTAACTATACTGAGATCTTAGAACTTATAAACTTATATCTCAAGGTGGGTGGCGCATTTACGTTGTAGATGTCTATGGGCTCCGATAACCACTTAACACCAGGTGGGCTGTGAGCTCGTCCACCTATCTAAGCAATAAAAACAAAAAAAAATAAGAGCAAGATGCATATAAAAAGATGAGCAAGGATCATCAAAGAGTCGCCACACGAAAATCTGTAACATTCTTAGGAATAAGTTGAAAAAATCGATACGCCACCCAAATTTAACAGAACAATAGACAGAGGCAGTTTTGATAGCGTTTTTTTTTAAATATAACGGAAAGTTGTTTCGAACGATTCATGTGTAACGAGCCTTATTATGTGCTTTGAAATTAATGAATATTCGTGACGTCAGAATAATTTGATTTTGAATTATTAATAAATAAACGTGATTCGCGGTTTCATCCACAATTAAATTTTTATTCCGTAAGAATAAAACATGTTGCATTTTCTCGGGATAAACGGTTGTCATACTCTGGTCTGTTAATTATGATTTCCATAGCAGACGGTGCCATGGCAACTTTTTTATACGCATGCATTAAATATGTGCTTATTAGGCGATACAGTTAGAATTTCGAATTTATTTGCATTTAAAAAAAATCATGAATGCGAAATTCAAAGTGTATTGTAAGAAAATTTAGCAGTAAAAGAACTTTAGCATTTAAGAGGATTAGCTGCTAGCTAATCTCATCCCTCCTGGCTGAACCTTTACTCGCCCACCTGTTCTGGTGAAACTGGAAATGCTTCCGGGATAACAGTACATAATCCGTCAATCATATAAAATGATTTGTTTTTTTTTTTTTCAAAATAAATGTAATCAAATTCCAACACAATTTTGCATAATGTAGCTTTACTGTAATTTATTATTATTTTGTTTTCATTTATTTATAACCTGGTATGTCTACATATACAGTTAAACATTTAAAAAAAAAACTAATTTACTTAGTCGGTATGTCTATGTCATTTCACCTTGCCCAATGCCCCCTTGGGGTTTTGTCGGTTATTATGGTCCTCCTACTAATTTCCTTATTAGTGAATACGGCTAGATCATAGATTATAATTTAATAGATTTATTTTTAATATTTGAACATAACACAACTCTACAAAAAAAAAAATCGTTCTTTGTCCTAATGTTTATACTAGGTTTTTCCGGTTAATTATTCACAAAACTGAAAATAAAATACCTTTTTTTGGTATAAAGTTTGCTTTCGTGATAGTTATAGTAATAATACTCATTTTTCATTTTTTTTATAAATTTTAATAATTTTAATACTTTTAAAAAAACCGCGTTATGAGAGTAGGGTGTTTACGTTTACCGAGTGCCACTAGATGGCACTCGAGTCATAAACAACGATCAGGTGTTTTGTACAAGCCCAGAAAAACTTAAAATGTCACGAAAGTGTAAATATGATGCTGATGCATTTTGTTTCATATGTGGTCAATTTATTAAGGTGCAAAACCAAACTGTTTCATGCCATGTATTTTTTTTTCGTCTAATTACGATCTAAAATATCGAAATTTTATGCTTTCCAATCAAAGTCAACGCGAAATCCCATAAAATGTCAATTAATAAAAGAGTGTTCGGCAATTTAGCAGAAGATACCAATTTGGGACCCCGCTATCCCGAGTTATTATTACAACTGCTTTTCATTATTTCTCTGTAAAAATATACTAAAAAATTTCTAAAGCTTATTAGTGACATCTATTGGTACAAGTAAACAATCAAGTTTGCATTTCTCAAAGTGACAAAGTGGCTTGGATCGAGGAACATAATTGTGTAGTGTGCATATTCATAGATGGCATTGTTTTGTTTCCAGGTGCTGCTTCACTAGTTCATTTGGTATATAACAGATGGCGCTAAATTTAAAATAAGATAACACAAAACTCTTTGGAGATAAATATTATTATTATTATTATTATTGAAGCTAAAAGTACAATATTGGAGAACCAATTAAAATTATATCTTTTACATTTTTTTCTACTATAATGATATTTGACATTATAATATTAACGTCGATATATCTCGGGTAATAGTTACTAATTAGATGGGCAACACAGGGTGGTACAGGTTGAGAAAGTTCAATATTAGCATTATTCGTTAGAACAACATTAATTATATAACGTACTAACATCTCTTGTACATTAAGTTGTAGTAATACCATTATATCATATGACATGACATTTTAATCCAACGTAAAAGTTGCAGCGAGCCTATCCCACATTAAGGAGTCTGCTAAATTTCAAGTTTTTTTTTAAATTACTTAACGGGTTAAAGGAGCTCATATGGTGATTATTCTACTATAGTGGCTGCAGAAATCAATAACGTAAATGCTGTCACCTACTTTGAGACAAGAGATCTAGTCTCAGTTCGGCAGTACATCGATTGCCCGGCTTTCAAACCGGAACGTATTATTGTTTGGCGGTAGATAGGGTGGTGGTACCTACACGTGCGGGCTCATAAGACGCCTTATCATTGGTAAAACTATGCTCATAGGAAGACGAGCATACAGCTACTTGATCATCAGTTGTAGCCGTATCTAATTTAGATAAGCCAAGGCGCTGCCTACCGCAGAGGTGTGCGTAGTGCGAGTTTTTTAACGTTCTCGATAGCGTAAAAGTTAACCCAATTTTGTATGCAGTTTGAATAGCGCCTCTAGCAACAAACGTAGGCAAACGGTCCTATTCTATACAAATATGAGCTAACTTTTACGCTATCGAGAACGTTAAAAAACTCGCACTAAGCACACAGTTTTGTTTCGTTTTTGAAGTGAAACTTCCTTATCGGCGTTGGAAAAAAATTTACCGTCACATTTTTCGGTTACGCGTCACATTTTTCCGTTACGCGCCATCTTTTAATTAACGGCTGTATGTTCTGAAGTATGGATGCGCATTTGAGAAACCGACCTCATGTCTCAAGGTGGGTCACGGAATACATTTTGTAATTGCAATAATCCCAGGTAACCCACTTAATATCACGTGGACCGTGCTATTATTGTTATTACGTAAAATAATAGGAAGA